GAAGTCTATTTTGTCAGATATTCGAATTGCAACCCCTACTTGTTTCTTAGTGCCATTTGCTTGGAATATTGAATATTCCTTTTCATCCTTTCACCTTAAGGTAGTGCCTGTCCTTGAAGGTGAGATGGGTTTCTTGTAGATAGCAAAAAGATGGATTTTATTTCTTAATCCATTCAGTTAGCCTGTGTCTTTTGACTAAGGAGTTCAGTCCATTGATATTTAAGGTTATTATTGAAATATGTATTTTTGTTGCCATAATTTTTATTTCGTTTTGTGTTCTTTGTCTAATTTTGTGTTCCTCGATTATACCTTTATTTATTTTCTTTCCTTCCCTCTGGGGTGTAGTTGTTCCTTTCTCCTGTCTTTGTATTGCTTCAAGTATTCTTTGAAGGGCTGGTTTTGTGGACATGTGTTCTTTCAGGCTATTTGTGTCATGGAAGATTTTTCTTTCCCCCTCAACTATAATAGACATTTTTGCTAGATAAAGTATTCTGGGCTGGCATCTATTATCATTTAGAACTGGAAATACCTTGGTCCAGGCTCTTCTGGCTTTCATAGTTTGCATTGATAAGTCAGCTGTAATTCTGATGGGCTTTCCTTTATATGTGACTTGTTGTTTTTCTTTTGCTGCTTTCAGTATTCTCTCTTTGTTCTGTACATTTAGTGTTTTTACTGTGGTATTTCATGAGGAGTTTCTTTTCTGATCCTGCCTATTTGGTGTTCTATGTGCTTCCTGTATTTGTATGGTGCTGTTTTTCCTTAATTTTGGGAAATTCTCTTCTACAATCCTGTTTAAATCTGGTCAATACCATTAACCTGAAATTCTTCTCCTTCCTCTATGCCTATGATACGTAGATTTGTTCTTTTCATGGTGTCCCACATCTCTTACATATTCCATTCTTGTGTTTATTTTAATTTTTCATAATCAACTTTATCCTCCAGTGTTTAAATTGTTTTCCATTTCATTCATTCTAGCGGTGAGGCTTTCCCCTGTTGTTTCAAGTTGGCTTATTGAGCTTTTCACTTCATTCTTCATGTCTGCCTGTTTTCTTCAGTGTTTCTATCTCTTTTGTGTATTCATTCAGAAGTTTATCCCTGTCTTCTTTTAGTTCTTTGATTTGTTTGTCAATATGGTCTTTAAATTCGTTGTACTCCTTCATCATGTTTTTGACTGTTCTTTTCAATTCTGTGTCCTGGATTATCTCTAGGGGGTTCTTCTTGTAGAACTCTTCTACGGGACTGGATTATCTCTAGGGGGTTCTTCTTGTAGAACTCTTCTACAGGACTGGTGGAGTTTGGTGGGGACAGTTTTTTGGCTTTACATTTTATTATTCTTTCATTGTCATTTTGGCATGTGAATTTCTTTTTTTGTGATTCTGATATGAGAATTAAGTTGAAGTATTCTTCTGTTTGTATTGTCGGGGTGCCTTGGTTCTTTTCTTATTGTTTATGTAAAGCTGGTTGGTCCAGGTTTCAGATTCTCTCAGGTTTTATTTTGGAGGGGGCGGATGGCCTCACATCTGCTACTCAGGAGCACCAACAGAAGCCCAAGTCAGGTTCCAGTCAGGTGCATTCAGGCTTCCTTCTAAGGTTTGGACCCCTACTAGTGGGAAATCAGAGCAAAATTTGGGAAGATCCCTAAGGGGGCACTGATTTGGGGACTTTGAGTTGGCCTGCTGAGTTCTCAGTCCCTATGCCAGAGGGAGGCCGGAATAGGCATTCTCTGGTGGTCTGCTGAGATCACAGCCGCTATACAAATGAAGGTCGGAACCCGCCCTCTCAGGCTGTCTGTTAAGATCTCAGCCTTATCCTACCAAAGCCAGGTCTGTCCTGGGCCTTCAAGGGGTCTTAGGCAATCCCAGTTAGGAGGTTGGGTACGGTGCAATTAGGGGAAGCTCACCACCACTTGGAGGCAGGATCCGGGCACTCTTCAGGCAGTGTTCTCAGCCCCTATGCCAGAGGGAGGCCTGAATCAGGCACTCTCTGGTGGTCTGCTGAGATCATAACCCCTACACAGATGGAGGTCGGAAACTGCCCACTCAGGCTCTGCTAAGATCTCAGCCTTATCCTACCAAAGTCAGGTCTGCCTGGCTGGGGCCTTGGGAGGGACCTCCCACAATCCCAGTTAGGGGGTTGGGTATGGAACAATTAGGGGAAGCTCACCACCACATGGACTCATGTCCTAGGCACTCTCAAGCAGTCCCCTGAATTCCATTTAATGATTTTTAAATAAATGAATGAATGAATAAATAAAAATTTTACACTCAAAAGCAGAAGCAGGTATATCTCTGTGAGTTTGAGGCCAGCCTGGTCTACTTAGCAAGTTCTAGGCCAGCTAGGGCTACATAGTAAGACCCTGTCTTGAATAAATAATAAAATTCAGAGGGGCTGGAGAGATGGCTCAGTGGTTAAAGGTGCTCTCTTGCTCTTCCAGAGGATGTGAGTTCAGTTCCCAACACCCATGTTGGATGGTTTACAAGTGCCTGTAACTTCAGCTCCAGAGAAGCAGAAATTTCTTTACTTGCAGTAAAACACTGCAGTTCATAGCATGTAATAGTCTCAAATCTGAACCAAAGTATTTCAGGCAGCATTGTTAGTATCACATGGTAGGAATGCATATGTGGTGATAAAATATATTCTGAACTAAAGTTATAGTGAAGCCATGAGATGCAACATGGGCAAACACAAAAATTCCTCAGATACATTATGTGTTTGGTTTGAAATTAATTTTTGATCATTGGTTGTACAGAAATCTTCTACTGTGGACATTTTTTGTGTGTGTGATCCTCATATTCAGTTATATGACCCCATATGTAGTTGCTTGGAGTCTAGGCCTGGTGTTATGGCACACACCTTTAATCCCAGCACCCTAGATAGAGAAGCAGATTTCTGTGGAATCAAGGGCAGTCAGATCTACATAGAGAGTTCCAGGCTCATAGGGTTCAGGCTGGCTGAGACTATAGGGATGACCACAAGGAAAGAGAGTTTTCCAGGCAGCTGGGAACTTGCTCATATGATTACAGAAACGGTGACAACATGCACAAAACCCCTGAAAACTCAAACCAGAGGGGGAAAAAAAAAAACAGCAAGGAAGTGGGGAAATGGGTAAAAGGCCCCAACCTGAACTGAGGAATTATTGGCAACTGATCACTACTGGGTGAAGGAGAGTTGGGCTTCCTTAAGGGAGTGACACTGGATAGGTTGACCAGGCTCCAGTGGATGAACTCACAATGAGGGACATCGGGGACACAAACATGACTCAGTTGTCCTTAACATATATGGACAGAATGCATGAAATCTCATAAGGGAGGTTATAGAGGGTGCAGATAAGGGAAGGGGTCTGAATATGTATAATCACAGTGTATTGTATGAAATGCACAAAAATGATCATCCTAAAGCAATTTTTTAAAAATTTTAAAGATAATTTGGAGTCTAGATAATTGTGTCAACCGGTTTTGTTTTCTATGTTTATTAAGGCCTAAAGCCTTTTAGACCATAATTTTTCTCTTTTGGGTTCAGCATCTCAGCATTTAAGGAAAATACTAAAAAGTGTTTCCTAGGGGGAAAGTCTTAGAAGCATGTATTTCATCCAGTGTGGTTCCATGCTTTAAACAATCAGATCTACAATTTGAGTTTGCTTAATCACCTTCCAGTGTCTTCAAACCATTATTTTTGTATTTTGTCCCCAGTTTGTAGCAATTGTCTGTGGGCAAATTAGTTCAGTACAAGAAAATCTATCATTACTAGAACCAGAGCTCAACTAACTTTAAGTATAAAAGTGTGTAAACTTTTCCAACAAAAAATTGAAAGTAAATTTTTATAATAACTTTAATATATAAGCGGAATCTTACATAAATTAAAAAATAAAATATCATTGAAACTATGAAAAATTATAATTTATAGGTAATG